ATCTTTTACCTTCTATTTCTAATTTTATTTTTACCCACCCTTGTGCTCTTCTAGTTTAGTCTTTACTTCTGAAATATTTTTTTATTCCTAATTTTTTCCTGAATTCGATCACCTCTCCCCCTGCATTGGAAAACTTGTATCCTATCATTTTGCTAATTTCTTTTAACTCACTCTGAGATAGTAGGTTGCAATTTCAGCTCTTTTGTGGGCACCTCTTTCTGGCATGCTTTCATTCTCTGAAGGAATGCATTGTGCTCCATATTCTCTTTTATCCTGTAATAAATGTATATATACACACACATATATATAACTTCAATATTGCTTATCTTATGTGAAATTAATTTTCCTGAACTTTTAGGAAGTACTGAACGGAATACAATTTCTAGCTTCACGCTCTACAGCTCCCTCTTGTTTTCATGAACTACTTTAAGAAAACGGCCTTGAACTTGCTCCGATGTCTTGGCTCTGTTCACCTCACCCACTTTTATCTGGACCTTCTCTTTCTTTTTCCCATATTGTCCCTGTCCTGCTGAGTTTGAATTCTGCTTTCAACCGTTTGTCTTCTTCGTGGAGCATTGTTTTGGATGAAAGCGTCCGTTTGTTAGATTCAATGTATAAGACCCAGAGTCCTGCAGGACCTTGCAAACCTTTGCCCTCACTTGCAAATCAGATTCCAGGGAGCTCCCTGTCTGCTCTGGCTCTGTTCTTGGATTGGCAGTGAGTACCTGCTGGGGATTTGGGGTTTTCCTGTCTCAGGTCCGTCTGATATCCCATGGTTCTCCGTGCTTCCTCCCGTCCAGATGATGATAGCACCTACGTGTATTTGGAGTTTTATGGGGACACTTTGTCCTGATTGTGTTGTGCATATTGACTGTGTGTTTTGGGTTATACTTCCTTATGGGAAAATCCAGGTAGACTAATAACTGCACCATCTCCACTTCCACCATCTTTCCAGAATGGTGACTGGGTATTGTGCGTAGCTCCTCAGTGACTTTCCAGCACAGCCAGGGTTGAGTCCCAATTGCTCTGATGACCCTTGCATGACCCTTATTCCTCAGGATTCTGCCTCCACTGCTCCTTTCCTCCCACTGTTCTGGTCTCCCCGGGCAGTCTCAACTCTCTTCAAATTCTACCCGCATGAGAATGATCACGGAATCCCAAATGCTTTTCCGGACATCAGACTCATATCCACTATATGGACATCCCTGGGGGAGCTTGAACCTAACTTGTTCACATTCTCTCCTCCTTCGGGTGTTCCACAGTTCACTTGTTCCAGCCAGAAACCTTAGTAGCAGGCTCAAACCCCCTCCTTCCTAAGCCCCAATATCTAATCAATCACCAGGCTAATCCATCCTCATGGCTACTTCTGAGGATATTGTGACTTATTAACTGGTCATAAATTTTTTTTTACAGTATTCTTAACTAGTCATTCCATTGCACACTTTAATGGCCTTTCTGGACACATCCTCTTCCTTGCTTAACAACCATGACTGCCTGTCTGATGTTCTTAGACCAAAGCACTATCTTCCTGTCGTGGCTTAGGAGGACCTGTATATTCTGGTTGTTTAAATATTGTCTTTCCCATGTCTGTCTCACACCAAAATCTAATCATCTAGAAAGTCTTTCAATTCCCCCACGGCCTTGGCACAGGCTGTTCTTAATTAAAACATCTTCAAACCTATCCCTGGCTTCCCACAGCTAACTCACCTTTAACTTCTGTAGGTTCCTAATGTCACTTCTTATTCTCTCTTCCCACATCAACTACCCTCTAAACCTGACACCATTATTCCCACCCACATAGAAATGATTGCACTGCTTGCTGGGAAAGGAGGATGTATGTGCAATCTCAAGTACAGACTAACAGGGGTGGGCAAACTTTTTGACTCGAGGGCCACAATGGGTTCTTAAACTGGACCGGAGGGCCGGAACAAAAGCATGGATGGAGTGTTTGTGTGAACTAATATAAATTCAAAGTAAACATCATTACATAAAAGGGTATGGTCTTTTTTTTTTTTTTTTTAGTTTTATTCATTTCAAACGGGCCGGATCCAGCCAGCGGGCCATAGTTTGCCCACGGCTGGACTAGAACCTCAATAATTACTAGTTAAAAGTAGTTGGGGGTGACTGATAAGGCAGCTGGGAGCTCTTGACTATCAATCGATCCTAGGTTACCTTAATGGCTGTGTTAATCCAGAGTTGCATTCTCCCTCTTGATGTATCTACATTCAATAATAATTTTTTAAAAATATACTTTTATCGATTTCAGAGAGGAAGGTAGGATACACAGAAACCTCTATGATGAGAATCATTGATTGGCTGCCTCCTGCACACCCCCTACTGGGGATCAAGCCCACAACCAGAGCATGTGCCCTTGACTGGAACCCAATCTTGACCTACTGGTTCATAGGTCGATGTTCAACCACTGAGCCACACCAGCCTGATCAATAAAGAATTGTTTAAAAGTAGTTCCCTTTGACGGCAAGACAGCCAAAATGCTGGTCAAAGTACCCAGCAACTTTATATGTTCTGAAAATTAACTATTCTGTACACAGCAGAATGCCTTGGGTTCAACTGACCCTGACCTCAAAGTACTTTTTATGAATTTACAGACCATCTGTTTCTCCTAAGCTGAGAGGGTCAGGGTCGGGGCACGTGCAGAGAACTCTAGAAACTGAGACATCCACAGCAGACCTTGAACTTGGGACTCCACCCCGTACACCCACTGGTAATCTTACCACAGCAAGACCCAGCCTGGGACCTGAGTTTTCCTCCTCCGGCCCCGCCCACCCC